CTGTCACTCCTAATTTTTTCACCATCTTCAAACAACCTAATTGAGACACAATACGTGGAATTTTAGAGGTAAGTTTTGCGCGGAATAAAGGGCCAATTTAATTTTTCTGACTAAGAGCTCTTTCTGTTGATAATACATTCTTGAATAAATAAGAAGCAGCCAGATGCAGTCCATGCCTGTAATCTCAGTACTCAATACTTCACATGTAATGTTTTTTCCTTGCTGTACCTTTTTTGTTAAGTACTTTCACTTTATGAGAGGAGGCCAAAGCAGGTGGATCACAAATTGAGTACTAAGTTAGCCCAGTCTAGTGAGATTCACAAAAAAAACTAAACTTTTCTGAGCCACATATATATGTGTGTGTATATATACATGTGTGTATATATACATGTGTGTATATATACACGTGTGTATATACATATGTATATATACATACACACACACACACACACACACACACACACATATATATATATCAATCACTGGAAGTTGAAGGCACTGAGTGGGAAGTGGGGGTTTGATCTCAATTAGTTCTGCCTATAGCACAGCCTTCTGGAAGCCTGCCATTTTGAACAAAAGCCAATGCCATCTTGTTCACTGTTTAACTCTTTCACAGGGAAGCTGAGTCTTGAACATCTCTTATAGCCTGTAAGTACTTGTAGCTTTCTTGTGCATAAACCAAGTAATATGAATTATACTAGAGAAGCAGGAATAATTTAACTCCTGGGCTGGCTCTTTGGTGTTGTCTGCTGCAGACAATGCACAGGGTGTAGTTTTCACCTGTGACATCAATAAGTGCTCATCATATGATCTGTGATTTTTCACAACATGGTCTTTGAATCACACTCATTAGGGCATGCTGTTTGAGGTACTTTTTCTAGAAAGATGATGAATTCATGCTGAAGGGAGGGCTCTACCAGAGTCCTTTTGTGAGACAAGCAACTTTCATATGCAAGACAAATGGCTGGCTGGGGGCAGTCTGTGCAACAGAGAGAGAAATAATTCAGCCCGACTAAATTCACTGTGAGTATTTCTCAAGCATGAGCTGAGTTGCACTGTTTCTCTCCCTGTATCTTGGAGTTACCATTATTGTGGGGTGGGGGGAGTATAAAACCTCATAAATTGATTAAATCACATTTGCTTTTACTTTTAATTCATTATCCTGTTGAAAGAATATGGTTCCAAAAAGAGATTGGCCAGTAAGTTTTTAAATTCTGACTTCTTTCTGAATCCCTACCCATGTTTTAGCTTCACATAGATGTCTGTAAGACACCCTCAGGCTCAAAGGGCCTGAAAGCAAATTCTTTATCTTCCCTCTTAGACCTCTCTGTGTGCTTGTGTTTTCATTGATGTTCTTCCAAACCAGAGTCATCTTGTTCTTCCTTCTCTCTGCCTCTCACAGAGCAAGTTGGCCCCTTGTCCTATTACCTCTCCCTATCTAAATAAGCCTTAGTCACGTCTACCAAACAAATCCTGCTCCCTCTTCCATCTCTGCCACCTACCACATAAAATTTCATAATGTGGATTAGAGCATACATGATCCTTTCTGATTCCTTCTCCTCTGGCATTAGCCCCATCCGGAGATCAGCTAGTTTCAAGACCTTTCACAACTCCAGCCTTTCAACAGCCACCATTACTTTTCTGCCAAGCGTGATTCATCAAAAGGTCTGCATGATCCCTATTCCATCTGCCTATTTAGTTCTGTCTTGCCTGATCAGTCATACCTTTCTTGTACAGGATAAATATCTGCTTGTCTTTTTCTTCCCCCAAACTGATATCTCAAATATTATATCTTAAATGGTGTATTTCTAGCAATCAGGCAAGTACTGGTATTTAGTAAGATCCCAGATTTTTGTTGAATGAATGAGTGAATGAACTGAACCCATTCCTCATGTATATAATCAGATGTTCTAAGCAGTCAACATTTAGTCTTAATCAATGTCTTCAACACAAACATACTTGAGTAGATTTATTTTTATCCATAAGGTATGCATTATAGGCCATTGAGTCTGTCTGTCCTTCTTTTCTTTCTCTCTCTCTCTCTTTCCCTTTCTCTCTTTCTTTCTTTCTTCCTTTCTTTCTCTTTCTCTCTCTCTTTCTCTCTCTTTCTCTCCTCTCTTTCTCTCTCCCTCCCTCCCTCCCTCCCTCCCTTTCTCCCTTCCTGCCTTCCTGCCTTCCTTCCTCTCTGTCTGTTTCTATGTCTGTATCTGTTTGTCTCTCTGTCTCTGTCGCTGTCTCTCCCTCTCTCTCTTTCTTTTTGTGCCAGTCCTGTTTGAGTTTTGAGCTCAGGTGCTGTCCCTGAGGTTTTGTGTTCAAAGCTAGTGCTCTACTAGTTGAGCAGCAATTCCACTTTCAGCTTTTTGGTGATTAATTGAAGATAAAATCACATGGACTTTCCTGCCCAGGCTGGCTTCAAACCATGATCTTCAGATCTCAATCTCCTGAGTAGCTGGGATTACAGGTGTGAACCATGGGCATCCAGCTCCATTGGGTTTTCTTATAGTTCTTTACCTTCTGTATACCTGTCTGTGCATCATTAGTGCCTCTTCACTTCACACACACACACACACACACACACACACACACACACACAATTTTTTCTTTGCTGTACCTTTTTTTGCTAAGCACCTTCCCTTTATTTGTTATTTTTTGTTGTTATTGTTTTTTGTAGGTCGTGGGGCTTGAACTCTGGGCTTGGGCACTGTCCCTGCGCTCTTCAGCTCAAGGTGAGCGCTCTACCGCTTAAGCCACAGCGCCACTTCCAGTTTTCTAGTGGTTTATTGGAGATAAGAGTCTCATGGACTTTGCTGCCTGGGCTGGCTTTGAACTGTGATCCTCAGATCTCAGCCTCCTGAGTAGCTAGGATTACAGGCATGAGCCACCGGCACTCGGCTCCACCTTCCCTTTATGACAGCAGCATTTTCACTATTTTTAACCCAAATATTCAACTGAAACACCGATTGTCCCTTCCTTCAGCCCTGGTGTCAGTACCATAGCTCTTAAAACAACAACAACTCTGTAATTGAAATCAATGGGTCTTAAGTTTTCAATTATCTCATGGTCATCCCCCGCTCCCTTATGACCTCTGAACTGACTTGTGATTACTGACTGCTATGTATTGTTTCCACAAAAGACGACTGAAATATCCAGTCACTTACCCTGCATGCACAACAAACTAGCAGGAAACCCAGGTGGTAGAGCTCAACAAGTTTTCTACCTCACCATCTGCACTATACCCTGGTGGAGGAGAGGGGTAATCAGGGCAAGGTCAGCATTCAGAACAGCTCAGTATGACTAAGCTGGCAGCATGAATTTTTCCAAAGGAGGCTAAGGAGGCACTCCACATAAACTCAGGGAGAGTGTAAACCAAGTTAATGGAAAATTCTCCCATCAATAGGGAGAGAAAAAACATGATGTGACGAAGTTTGCTAAATAGATAGTTTGCAATTGAGGTTCTTGAAAATAGCAAAGAGTAAACATAAAACCCTCCTGGAAAATCACCCACAAATTGATAAGTATTTTTACTTATTATTAGCATTATAAGATATTCACCATGGTGTGACTAGGAATGTGTTCCTATTTCCTTACACTCCTTCATACACTTTTATGTGTGGTTTAACAACTGTAGCATTCAGAGTTTTTCTTCAGTGTGGATTATTACTGTTATTTTTCTATTACTCTTTGGCACTCTTTGGACACCAATAGATTTGGAAGAGCTTTATTGTCCTTTGTTATAATAGAGCCCTGGGAATAACTTACAAAAGGTTTCTGTGAGAGGGTGTTAGCATCTATAAGAAGCTAATTTTAAGGATGGGAAGGTGGCTCAGTGGTAGAGCGCTTGCCTTGCATGCATGAGGCCCTGGGTTTGATTCCTCAGCAACACATAAGAAAAAAGAAAAAAGCTGGAAGCAGTGCTGTGGCTCAAGTGGTAGAGCGCTAGCCTTGAGCTGAAAAGCTGAGGGACAGCTCCCAGGCCCAGAGTTCAGGCCCCACGACCAGACCCCCCCAAAAAGAGAATCCAATTTTAATTGTGCGTTCCTATTTAAAGTTTGAGGCTTATTCCTATGGTTTATTCAGTGCTCTAGTCCTCTTAATCCCATTCATACTAGACCAGTATAAGCTTAAGGAAGATTGAGGCTATTATGGGTTTGGCCCCAGCCCTAATACCTACTTCAAAGATCTTTATCTAGTTTTGTTCAAAACCCTCAGTATTTTACCATTCCACTAGCACTGTGCCTGGAAATAACAGAAGTACTCAGTGAGGTCACTGAGCACCAAAGGGAGGGCACCTTTAGGAAAATTATCACAGGATAATAGAGAATGGGAGATGATTGTAGTACAGCCTGGATGTATGGCAATCTGACTTGTATGCTAGGCCTGCTGACTAAATGAACCTTCATGAGCCTAAGAGTGGAAGCGAGGGCTCCCATGACCTGCCAGGGAGGGACTGACTTCAGTCACTGAAAAAGGAGGAGGAAAAAGAGCAAGGAAGAAAAACAGCCCTAAAGGTTGTAGGAGTTAGTGGACCTATTCATTGGTTGGCCTTGGAACCTGGACACGGTAATGTCTTTAGAGAGCTATGTTTGGGTCCTAGACATAGTGGCCAAAAGAGGAAATGTGTTTGGCTTTTGAAATTCAGCCACATGGCCTTGGCTTCACTATTAAGTCTCTAACCAGGCTTATATACCAATGCCATGGTCTGTACGTAGATCTACTAAATTACATTCGTAAACAAGACCTAAAGAATGCTTAGACATAGAGGCCTTTTCCCTCATGGAACTTAGAATTTGTTTTAACCTAAAGTTATGGATACAGACTTGAAAGGAGACAACCCCCACCTTGCTAAAAATGTAAGTACAAAAAGGCACAAATTGGACGGATATCGATGATGTTGTTTCTATTGTGACATCATCCATAGACTCCTAGTGTCTTTGCTTTGCTTCCCTATAGTGATCACAACATAAATTACTTGTCTTGTTTGACTTCCTTGTTCACCAAAGTTGAGCAGATTGTGGCCGTTTTCAACGCTTCTACCAGACAAAAAGCTTGGGACCATTTCTCGAAAGCTCAGCGCAAGAACATAGACATTTGGCGAAAGCATTCTGAGGTTGGTGATTTTATGATTACTTTTTAACCACCATCACACAGCTGGATTGGCAGAGAGTACTGTAGCTGCAGCCATTATGGTTTTTGTTATTGCAGGCAGTCCTCCTGCCATTTTCCTCTCATTGTCCCCTTCAAATCCACCTCCGACCTGTTCTTGGTCCAGAAAAGCAGCTGACTTCACACTTAGAACATGTTTACTCCGCCACAAATGGAGAATGGAATCTTTCTCATTCTTAGTAAAAGAGTTCCAAACGCTACCAAGGTTTTTTTGCCTAAAAACAGTTTGAAGACAAGTGTAACTTAATATAGAAAATGAGTTTTTGAGTACACATTTCTTTTTCCCTGCCGTGTTCTATGTGATGATGACAGTTTGCTCTTTGGGCTAAAAATGGCAAGTATGCCTTCCTACTCATATTTCTTCATCGTAAGCTGTGTTCCTTGTGCTAGCCCTGAGGTTCTGCCAGGGAGCAAGTCTCTGCCCAGAGCAAGTTCTCTGCCCAGAGCAAGTCTCACAAGGGGTGTCAATGTCCAGGCTAGCTGAGGCCGTCTTTCAACATCAGTGCATGTGTGAAGTGTGAGTATCTACCCCGAATGACAGAGTCCGGACATGGCCTTCCCTGCCACCCAGACATTAGCCATTGGTCATACAGCTGTTATTTTTGACTCCACAGTGTAGTGTACGCTTTGAACCTGTCATGTGAAAGTAAGTATACTGTCTTTGTTTGCTTCTTCAAAAATAAATGAGAGAATGCTTTCCATTTGGATGCCTTTTCATCTCTAGCATGTTGATATTAAAGTACTCTAAATGATAGTCCCCTCTTTCAAATATCACAAACTTATAGAAGGTAAGGTTTATTTCCTTAATGATTTTGGCTCACACCTGTAAAAAATAAAAAATTAATTAATTAATAAGTGTTTTATGAAGAGTTTGAGGAACCACAAAGCACTCAACATCAATCATTTGGGTAACATTTTAAGTGCCCATTAACTAATGCTACAGTTGAATACCAATGGCACTAGATGGGAATACTAAATGAATTATTATCACTGCTATTATGGTGAATACTGAATGACTTCACAAATAACAGGACACTTACAATGCTAGTGCAGTTTGTTGATGAGAAGGACACTTTAAATTGTGCTCACTAGTGCCTCAGAAGATGGTTGGTGATAGATTCAAGGTTGTAAATAAGAAAGAAATGGATTTCTTTTTAATTTTTCAGGGACCCAACAATAAAGGGTACTTACCACATGTTTTCCCTAACACCAATTTAAGACCAAAGCCAAGATTTGTTTTCAGCAATGCTTGATAAGTAATGCACTCATTACTTTGCCCATGTAATTGTAACCCCTCTATTCAGTATTTTTACCAAAAAATCAAAAGACTTGTTTTTAGGAGGGGAAAGGGAAAAACAAAAACAAAAAAACACCCTTTTTTGGATGGATTGAAAGTAAAACACAAATTGGAATCCATCAACTCTGACTTAGATCTGGGAGTGATCAGTCTATGATATTTCTCCTTCCGTAAAAAATGAATATGACTAAAAAAATGTTAGGAGAATGGCATATGGAATGAATACTAAGTATACCTGGGCACAAAAAGACCATCATTAGCATGTGAGTGTCCACAATTACAAAATACTGATAGATATCAGGCTTCTTGCCTTGTCTGACTGCACATCCCCCAGACTGGTACTGCCCAGAGTAGGGCCTGCCACACATCCAGCATGAGTCTGAGGTAGCTTGCCTTCTCTGTATGGTCTTTGGATACAATGGGTATTTCCTGATGATGGATGGAGTGTAATCCTCAAAAGCCCTCCTGTGAATGGTCTTTGTGCCTTCCTGCCACTTCCACCCCGTCTTTCTGTACACGTTGGGAAATGGAACTCTAAATTACCTTTGATTTTCTCTCCTACATGTCGCTTAATTGATTAAATACCGGTTGGTAATTTAACATTGTGGATGATTTCTCAGTTGCATATAAGCTTGATAATTGGCTTGATTTTTTTCTGCATTCCCATGTACAGCATCTGTTAATTATCTGCAACACCTCTACAGATTTATTAGAATGTACTAGTGATTTACTGCTGAACCAGAGGCACCCTGTGGAAACACCCTTGGTTTTTTTTTTACTTTCCTCCATGCTTTTTCTTTGTGCTACCTCTCCCCTCAGTAACAAATTGCCTGACAATTTGTCATTAATTGTAGGACTAAGCAACAGGCCCTTCCAGCTTCATTTATTCTTTCTATCTGACTTTTCCTTGTTTAATGTACTTTCAAGCTACATCTCTGGGATTTGGTCTCTTTGTCAATAGAAAAATTAGCTGTCCACCACCTAAAACTCTCCCCACTAATAAAGTTTGAGGCCCACCTCCAAGACCTTATAACATTATTTAAGACAGAACTGAGACCTCTTTCTTCTAGGTATCATGGTCATATAAAGAGGCAACATCTGTCTTGCCAGTAGCCTTTCAGGAATGCTGAGTAATGCCTTTTCCTGGAACTTGTCCCTATACCCTACTGCTTTCCTGTCCTCAACAAGGGTGATTTCCAGAATACAGAGGTGATGGTTTGAATACTGTTAGCAATAAATCAATTCCTTTCCATCTTGGCACAGTTAAAATCTGTGACCTAAGGGAGGGAGCCTGTAACATGGAGTGACAGATATACTTCTATTGGATGGGTAGTGGAACTATATTTAAGGTCATGCTACTAATTAAGTATAAAAATGTATTATTACCCCTCCATGTATTATAGAATAAAATTATTTTAATGATTTGACTCTGTTTTTAAGAGACTTCATTTTAAAGCAGTAAAAAGAATAATGAAGGCTTCTCCCTATCTTAAGTCGTTCTGAGGACGATAGCTAGCTAGCTAGCTAGATGAACAGAATGAATAAGGATTCACAGGTGCATAATCTAAAACAGTATAAAATAACCATGTATCTATTTCATGTAAGTGGGTATAACGTCTTGATTCGGCTTAGTAGTAAGAAATATATTGTTTAATTCTTAACACTGTACAATTAGTTTCACAAACTTAATTTATTAGTATTCCCTCTTTCAGGATGAGTAGAGAAAGGCCCTCAAGTGGACTGAGTTGATTGAATCAGTTAGTTTCTCCTGCTCAATGGAGAAAGCAGGAAAGGGTCACGAGGATCCAAGGCTCTACTTAGTAATGCCAGAGCCACCATTATTGCAAACCTTTAAAGCTTACATGATTATGTACAATGCAAAAACAGAAGACCTTTATTTTTTTTGTTTGCCAACATTTGAAGTTTAAATTGTGGATGCCTGCATGGTGTAAGTGTAGAAGTTTGTGTTCTTCCTCTCTTTCTCTCACTCACACACACACACACACACACACACACACACACACACACACACACATACACACGGGCATGGGTCGTGATAACATTAGTCAATATTATCAAGAATATCAATAAGTAAATAATAACTCTCCAAGTCTAGTACTGAGCATAATAGCAAGTCTTTAACATCTAATGTGTTTCACTATGAAAACCATTAGGACCACAGTATTCTAGTGAGCAAATTGAGGTTAAGAGTGATGAAGAAATAGTCCCAAAGCTACACACTGACTAGTGGTCAACTTAGGCTTCTTGAAAATTCCATTGCTCAAGTTCTTACCAGGAGAATGCTCCCTACTTTGTGCTAGCTACATCATCCTTACAACAGGTTGGCTAGATAGATATTATTGTCTCCCTTTTTGTTTTAACAAATGAGGAAACTGAGACTCAAAAAGCATTAAATAATTTTCCAGAGAGCCCTGAACTATATGAGCCCTTAACTTGGTGAGCATGAATTTATCTCAACTCTGAAACCAGAGCCTTTGGCCTTTGTTCTACCCCATTTCCCTCAGAACTTCATTTAGATTAGGTGGGAGGGATGTTTGGGTGAACACCTTAGACTCTAGATATTGATATGTCAGCCATAATATACCCAAATACCAGTAGGAAACGCCACAACGACTCTGACATTCATGTATCCTGTACTTCCAGGAGCTCCGGAATGCTCAAAGTGAACAGCTCATGGGCATTCGTCGTGAAGAAGAAATGGAAATGTCTGATGATGAGACTTGTGACAGCCCTACTAAAAAGATGAGAGTCGATGAATCAGGTAATGCTGATAACTGCCAGGTACCCAGGAGGGCTCACAATGAGCGGTCATATCATAGATGGGGAGATGGCCAATAACTCACTTTGATTTGAGTTATACTAAACTTTCATCTATGAATGACTCTACATTTTATTAACATAACTTTAAGCTCTTTCTTAGGAACATAGTGCTTTAAATTGCTCCAGTTGTTTCTCCACATGAAGGTCTGGGCCATTATACATTTTTCAGGGATATTTCCCTATTTCCATAAAAATCCTTTTCCAGAGTATGGCAGTTAATAGATGATTCTGAAATACATATAAAGTTTGGTTTCAGTCCATGTACTTTTTGCTTGGGAATTGTTTCATCCCTAAAGAAGCTCTCTAGTCTCTTGAGCCAAAATGCTGGAAAATTAGACTTTTTCCTATTAAATTTTAGTTCACCTAACCCGTGATCAGAGGATGGCTCCATTTGGTACTCGGTGAGAGGTGTCATTCCTTGAATTGTATAATGGAAAGAAGCTGAAAGATAACTTTGTTTTGTATGCTCTGGCTAGCCTGGGATACCTATTAAAATTTTCCTTAATTATGAGTTTTTTGGTATTGAAACAGCAGACAAGGGTAATGCTCATTCAGAGTAGAAAAACTGAGGGAGGCCAGGAGGAAGAGTATTGTCTGAAGGATCTGAAAAACACCCACTGTTGCCAAAAAAGAAAACTAGAGAGATGGTATAGGTTTGATTCTGTCTACTTGTACATACCAGTGAATAAAACACATTTGTCTCAGAAAGATTGCATGTGACTAGACATAGAGGCTCTTGGCTAACTTGTTGATAAAGGAAGGAGCCAAAAGTGATTGTTGTCTTCCGTGGAGGGTCTAGACTTCAAGCTGACAAGGAGCTATCTCGGCAAAGGTTCTTCCAGTACATGCTGTTCTTTGAGTTCTTGTAACTTACAATAGTCAGCATTCCATGGAGCCATATGTTAGGGTGACCTTCCCTGATTTTATTCAGAAGCCAAAATGGTCAGGTCATCGAAAGTGTAAAGTGCTTAGAATGAATTCCCAAAAGTTCCTGCAGTCAGATCACAAAGAAGGAGTTTTAATTTCCTTAGAGCAGCGCTTCTCAGAGGTACGCTCTCACATCTTGTGATATCAGCATCATCTAGGAACTTATTAGAAATGGAAATTCTCGGGCCTTACTTACTAAATCAGAAACTTCTAGCGGGTGTAGAAATGAACTCCAGCAGCCTGTCACAAGTCCTCAGCTGAATATGTGCTGAAACTTGAGAACTACTGCCTTGTAGCAGGGCTGATGTTTATTACTGTGCTAGTTGGGGATATGAGGTAAATGGGATGGGCTCTTGGACCATGCACAAGGACCCTCCCTATCCTTGTCTGGTGCATCTCGACCCCCCAGACTTGCCTCGAACCCCGTGCGTGGCCAATGCTATTCTTACCGATCTAAACCTGTTAAAATAACCTTTACAGTGGAGGGAAAAGGATAACTAACTGGGAGGTGGGTCTGCCATTAAAACATAAAAGGGGGAATCTGTAGAGCACATGGGCAGCAAAGATGGCGCTGAGAGGGAGTTGAGTGGGCAGAGCCCGATTTACTTTACAGTTCAGTGTGTAACTAGCCCTTGGAAGCTTAAGTGCATGATAGGGTGTGACCTTGACAGTGATTGGTTCCTCTTCCTCCCCTGCCATGCCACCCGCTCTTTTTTGCTTTAAAAAGAGCCTGCTCTGTTAATAAATGAGTTTCTTCCTGCTTGAAAAAAAGAAAAAGAAAATTAAGCCTTAATCTGAAAAATCCATTCATTGAAGCCTTGAAAGGTTTAGCATACAAGTAGACACCATACTATTACTTTCTGAAGCCATACTAAAGATAAACCTAGTGTTTATGTCTCTATTAAGCTGCTACTATATTTCTCAAGACTATGTTAGGCTAGAGTATGTATCTATTTAACAAAACCATGTTATTGTATTTCTAGTTAATAAGCCTTCCTATGTCCAGAGAACACAGTATTAGTGTGATATTAGTAAATTCAATATCTCAAGATTTTAAAAAAATTGTTGAGAAACTTTTCATCATTTTTAAGTTTTTAGATGAGCGCCAAGATTACATACTCTGAAAATCCTCACAAGGGAAGTAGAGAAGAAAACAATGAATTTGAAACTATCCCTTTGTTTCGGTGATATTTCTCTTAAAACAACCTATTTCACAAGGAAAAATTATATACAATTTCATAGTCTCCTAGGCTAGTAGTAGAATATGAATGGTTGAACAATAGGCTGGCTGAGGTCTTCCAAGTCATGGGAAGTTTGTTTGTACACCTGTAGGATTAGCAGCCAATCTCTGTGGTAGAAACAGGGATCTGTTGCCATAGCAAGAACCAGAGGCTCTCTCTGGAGGTCTGACTGAAGAGCAGACCTCTTTTTTGGTTCATTCCCTAGGCATTTTAGAAGCATTAAATGAAGTGCAACAATGAACTTACATTAGCTTTTGCCAGCAGAATTAACATTTACTTGGCCAGCAGAAATAATGAACAAAACACAGTGTGTGTTGTCTCCCATCGATGAAAGAGAGAGATGAAAGAAATGGAATTCAAATGCTGGGGCCCCAAAGTTCAAAGTCTCTTTCGTCTTGTTCAAAATGAGATGGACTGGAGAATGGGGCATGTGGGTTCTGAAGAGAGCCCAGACTGATTAAAGAAAGGGAAAGCAGCTAACATGTTTTATTCCACCAAGCCCTAAAGATCCCGTCCAAAAGCAGGTAGTGCTTTTGTTTCAGCCCTGGTATTCAGAGATACAGTCTGACAGCAAGAATTCCCATCTGGTCTTTGGACTCAACCCCAGGCAAATCCAAGAGCTGCTTGAAGCAAAGGACAGGGAGCTCCTGGAGCCTGAAGGAAGAATCTTCCAGTGGCATCTTGTTTGATGACACATCACTCTTCTTAGGTACACATTTGCAACTGCATGAGAGGAGTAGGCCCCTTACAACGTAGCATTCTAATACACTGGTGGGCATTGCCAAATAGAAGTGAAACTCTCTGTCCTCCTAAGGAACCCCTTGCCTGCCTACTCTGCTAAAAAATTTTTTTAAAAAGTAGGGGTTTGCCTCAGATGCCTGGGGGAAGCAGCCTCCTGGAAATTCTTGGCAATTGCAAAAAAGAAAATCCTTTAGGAGTTGTCTGCATATGTGGAAGGTTGTGGAGGGAGGCCCTCCTTAGGGTGCTCAGGCCAGGATGTCCCAGTGCCAGCTTTTCCACATTCCCACCAGAACAAAAGCCTATGCTGGAGCCAGGTATGGAAATAATACCCCTGGGAGAGATGGGAAGAATTAACTTTGTTTCTAGAAAAGGCACATTTTATTGCCTAAGAACTTGGGTAATACCTTAAGTTTAATTTTCTTAATAATCATATTTAAATCTATCGCTTGTGTTCCAGTTAGGAAGAGTCTTGCTTTCTCTTTTTCCTTTTTATCACATTAAATAATTCACAACATGTCTTTGGCCCAAGTACTACCGTCACTGTCAGTAACTTTGGCCAGATAGTAATCATGGATCAGGTTGTTTATATATCCTCATTGGCTGATCCTAAGGAGGAAAACAAGTTTGCTGGAACAAAACTAAGATGATGATAAAATGCAAATGAATTCAGTTAATTAATTTGAAAATCATGACAGATTTAACCAAAGCCTTCATTTAAGAAGACCAGCACCCTGCTCTGTAGCCTGTAAGATAATTTTGATAACAATACAAATATGTTATTGCTCCATGTACCTCCTTCTAGAATCAAACTTTTAATCAGGCTTTTGAATGTAGATATATTCCCTTCCCTCTCTCTTTGCTCTATCCTTCTGTCTCTCTATCTATGTCTATATAACCTCTCCTCATTACGTCTTTTATACTCCTCCCTCTCTTCCCCTTACTATACCCCTCTCTATTGGCAGTGGAACTGCGGCAGGTTACACAGGGAAGAAAAGAAGAAAGAGGAGAGGGAGGCTTTGTGTGGCAGAGCATGGTTAACCTTAGTATCCTGAGAGTTAAATGAGCCATTGTATAGAAGGTGCTAGTGATTTTTACAGATGTTACCAGTACAAAAATAAACACTCAGTAAACATTAATTCATTATTTTCTTAGGCACCCTCCAGCACCTAAACTGGAGCCTTTCCCTGAGTAAGTGCTCTTGTTGAGGGCTGGAAGGTGGCTTAGTGGTAGAGTGCTTGCCTTGCTTGCATGAGGCCCTGCGTTCGATTCCTCAGCACCATATAAACAGAAAAAGCTGGAAGTAGCGCTGTGGCTCAAGTGGTAGAATGCTAGCCTTGAGCGAAAGAGCTCAGGGTCAGTGCCCAGGCCCAGAGTTCAAAGCCCAGGGCTGACAAAAAAAAAAAAAAACTTGTTGATTTTGTTGGATGTTGGTGACTCACACCTCTAGCCCTAGATACTCAGGAGCCAACCCAGCAGAAATGTCTGCAAGACTGCATCTCCAGTTAACCAACAAAATGCTGGACAGGAATGAGGCTCCAAGTGGTTGAGTTCTAGGCATGACCAAGAAAGTCAAGCTGTAAGTGTGCAGCCCCGAGTTCAAGCCCTAGTACTGGTGCACATGCATGTACACACACACACATACACACACAGTTTCTTGACTTTAATTGTACTTTCTCTTTGTCTTAATGTTTTTATGCCTTTGGCCCTAAAGTCAAGAGGAAAATGGTGGATCTGAGAGCAATTTTCTGATTCTTTTTAAATGGACCACATCAAAAAGCACATTGAAATAAGGATGATTGCTTTCCCCAAAAATATTCCAAAATTATACAAAACTCACTGTCACATACTAAATAGACATCATTCTAGTCACCAATAAGCATTCTTTTTTATTAATACGTTTTTTATTGTGAAAATACCATACAGAGCGGTTACAATTACATGAGCAAGGTAATGAGTCCATTTCTTATCAAGCATTGTTGCCTCCTCCTTTGTTTTTTCCCTACCATCCCTGACCTCCCATCTCCAACCAATA